GTCCATAGGAGTTTTCAGCACAATTGATATCTACAGTTATCTGATTGTTGGCATGAGAACACCTTCCAGCTAATAGGGCCTATGAACAGTAATCACTTACAACTTGCAAGTCAGCGTTACTGAAGCTTTGGGGGCCTGAGTCTCCATTGCCTTTCCACTTGCAGGGTCGTTACCCATGCAAAAGGAGATGGAGTCAGGCCCCTGCAAATCAGGAGACTGGCTTAATCATTTTCCTTCCTGCGGCTCCAAAACCTGGCGTGTTCTGTTCACAAGGGGTTCAGCAACTTTCTGCAGCTGTTTGTGTTCACCAGCGTTTGTACTTTGTGCTGACTGAGTTCTAGCAAACAGGGAAACAAACTTAAGGCTACACATAATGAAAGTATCGAGTTTGGGCTGGTTACGGGGCAGGATTAGGCTGCACAATCTGCAGTGGCGACAATAAGGGAAGGGAAGTGGTAATACAATGGAGGGGGCAGGTGGGTGAAACTGTGAATCCACTTGACCAGCGTGCTGCGGATGAGCAGGGTGGAGTGGATCAAAAGCAGCTCTGTCCAGGATCAGCCTAACAGGGAAGGGACTGCGTGTCTGGTGACAGGAGGATGCGGAAAGTCAGGGGTGGGATTTGGGTTCCCAGCTGCAGCTGTGACGGAATCAGTTACGAATTCCATCACAGGCAAGGGACTGACAACAGTTAAATCTCCGGGGCTGAGGAGCAAAGGGCTGGAGCTGCCCCTGGCATCCATTTCAATCTACTGTAAGAAGCACCTAGCTGGAGCCCTGGCCTCTAGCTCTGGGAGGCCTAGCTCCGAGACACCTCTCCCTTGGGGCAGAGGGGTGTAGGGACAGGATAGCCCTGGGGAGGCAGAGGACTGTCCCCACCCTCCCAGGGAGGGCAGTCCTTCCCTCTGGCTCTGGGGCTAAAGGCAGATGGGGCCGGGTATATGAGGGAGAAGGAGACCCAGTGTCCAGCTGTATTATGGGGCCTGGATTCTGACACTGGCTTTCCCCAAGGATAGCAGCAGCAGGCAGGCCTGGGAGGCGAGAGGACAGGGCCTGACAAGTGCTAGGCACCACACGGGGCTGCAATCCCTCCCCCGGCCCCCGCCTGGAGTCAGGGGCAATGGGCGACATCCTGGCTTTACAGAGACCAATGAGAAATCTGTCACAGGTGGCAGAGCAGGCAGGATGGGGGAGGGACACTGACCCACCCCTCAAACAGCAGTGGGGGGCACCATGGAGACCACACGGGACAGGAGCGCCTACTCCCAGAGACTGGAGCAGCCAGCTCCCACCTCCAGAGCCCCTCTGGCCTCAGGGCTTGTGACTTGATTGCATTTCTCGCCCGCTGACAGAAGGGAACTTGTGCCGGGGAGGGGAGGTGCAGGGAGGCTGGGGAAGGGGAGCAAGGAGCAGGAGGTATGGTCCGAGGAGCTGGGGAGAGGATTACAGATGGGGAAAGATATCAGCGTAACCTGTGGTTTGCTGACCTACTGCAAGCAATGAGGAGGAGCCAGCGAATAGAGTCTGGGCCAGGGGGCCGAGCTGGAGTACAGATGTACGCGGTGCTGGTCACTTTGCCTGTCTGCCTCTTGCACGCCTGCTTCTGCTGCAGCTTACACCAGTGTAATCCCCTTGATCTCAGGGGAGCAGCACCTACTCTGCTCCCATGTTAGCAGGGCACAGACAGCCCCATGCTCGCTACAACAGTTACATGGGTGAACCAGCCACAGGGCCTGTGACAGTATTTAGCCTGCCTCTGAAGAAGTCCGTACTATTTTTGTTCAAGGTTTTTTGTTTATTTGGTTTTTTTTAATAGTTCCATTGTAAGCGGTTTCATTCTTCACGTTCATCTCATGTTTCACATCAACAAGCACAACCAGCTACATACCTTTGCATCATCACCTTATGACCAGGTTTCATTGGCTTCTTTTCATTCTCTGTCTAAACATTAGACTTAGGGTTGCTCAAAATAACGAGGACGTATTTCGTGAACACTTTCTGAAATGTTTCCCCATTTATTTTTAGAATTTCAAAATTTGAAACATTTTGACCAGTTCTAGTTCCAACAGCGAGCGCTCACCAAACAGATTGCTTTTGAGCTAAAGCTTTGAACAAATAGTATGTACAAAGCAGCAAGGTGCATTTCAACAACACAGAATATTTACCCTGTTTCTTGCCCAGCGAGAGGTTTGTAATACAAACCTCGTGTTTTCAAAAGCAGATTTTCAGGGCGCTGCACACACTGCATTTCCTCTGCCAGTTTTCTCGTCCTTTATCCCACGCTCAGCGTCACACATGGACCAGAGATCCCCAGTGGGTGTAAATCACTGCCAGTCCAATTAAATCTTTAGAAGTACACCGATTTACACCAGCTAAGGATTTCAGCCCCTACTCATCCGGTCCAGCTCTACAACCACTTGTCCCCTCGTCCCCAGCCCTTGTTCACTATCACACTCCCCAGCCTTCTGTCAACAGGGTGGAAATTGTTTCTGCTTCCCACAAGCTGCAGGACCTGTCTTGTTATCTCAGGGGCACTGGGCCCCACCTGCAGTTCCTTTAGTTTCATTATCTCCAGGGCTGTTCTCAGGTGGCTTATCAGTTTGTTGAATGGTGGAGAGAAATGGGCATAATAAACCCTCTGGGCTGTTCAGTGATCTGATTATTTGGCCTCCCACAAGCAGCGGACCAGGGTACCTGGGTGGCCAGGCCTAGTCAGGGGTCAGATTTCAAGCCCTGGGGGAGCGGTTTTTCCCTGCAGCTTATTCTTTCTGGGAGCGGGAATGGGAAGGGAAAGTGTGCTCCATTCCCAGACCACCCCTAGGATGGGCCCTACAGCCAACAAGCTGGCAAATTCTGAGTCCTGGCCCATAGCTAAGCTTTCTTGTTAGTTACACAGTGACACCATGTACAGGCTCAGAATTTGGGAGGAGAAAAGGAAACTCCAGAGGCCCCAGCCTTCCTCCTGGTCTGCACGCATGCCCCAAGGGGTCAGAGTCCCCAAATCCATGGGGATGAAGCAGCTGCATGCGAGGGGACAGTGATGTCCCAGAGGCACAGACCAGGCTCAGGGAAGCGGGTGGAAGCACAGGATGGACATGGCAGAGGAGGGGGACTGGGTCAGAGCAGCATTGCTGCGACAGATCTTTGTTGCTGCTTCTACGGCTCCTGCAGGGCGGCTCAGAGCCAGACGTGGGTCTTTAAAATGGGAAAGACTGAGCGTGACTGTTCCACGACAGTTACCGATCTCGGTGATACTAGGGCCCCGATGCTGCAGGCGGCTCCAAGCTGCAGCATCCGTGCCTAGACATTTGCCCTGTAGAGCCACGCTGGAAAAGCACTGAGCCCTCCCACTCCTGAGGGCCTCACCGGGAGCAGAGGGGGCTGTGTAACTCACAGGAGGCAATAAGAGCTCAAAGGTATTGAGACCCAGAACGCCCATTAGTCTCAGTGGGAATTAGGAACCTAAATTGATCTGAGCCTAAGCATTGGGCAGGATCAGGCCTGACGTGACCCAACGATCCTGAGCGATCATTGTTTAGACAGCACAATGTAAATGCTAGTTTTACTTGTTCAGTTACATTTTTCAAACAAATGCTTTACCAGCAATATAACATTATCTCCTGGTTTCCTGTTTTAAAACTGCACAGAGCGCAAGGGCAGTGGGGTGGGGAGGCAGGGCAGGTGAGATTTGGGAGAGGAAGGAGTCTCTGCCCTGTGAGACCTTGAACAAATCCCTTAAACCATTCAGGTGAAGCCTTCGACCCACTGAAACCAATGGGTCCAGCAGTCTTTTGCCCTGGGAACCCCTGTTTGCTGACCTGTCACACTGAGAACTGGTCAGAATCCTCCCCCGCCCCTTGTGGAAAATTTTAGCTTTTCCACTGGAAAATTGAAAAGTTTTGGCCCAAAAACTGCCACAAACAAAAACAAACAAGTAATTTTACAATTTTTATCTGAATTATTGGTTATTGGCTGAAAAATCTCAGATAAGCTTTTTTTTTTTTTTACAAAACAAACAAAAAAAATTTTTAGAGGAAAACAAATATTCTCTGCAAAAATTCTCATTTAGTCAAAGCTCCACGTTTCTGTCGAAAAACAGGTTAGATGGAAACTTTTCAGGCGGCCTTAGTTACATCTTTAATGTTTGTTAAATACCTGGAGAGTCCATCATTTTCTCCCACTGTAATATTCAGGTTACATAAATCTGTCTAATTCTTTGTCCTTGTGCCTATTCATCGGATACCATCTTTAATCTCATGATCTCATATTACTACTCCATCATCATAAAATGCAAGACAGTTGTTTCTGCTGCCTTTGAGCACTCTTGCAGTGCTGTGTCTGCCAGGGTTCATGCCAGCCCTTTATTGGAAAGTCTAATCTTCGCCAGACTTTTACAACATTCCACATATTAGGTATACAGTCAAAATTCACTCGTTTAAATAAGCCTCCAAATTTGCACTGAGTTAGATTTTGGCTGCCCCTTGGAAAGCTTGTACTGTACATGTATCAACAGCTGAATTGCCTTCACGGACAACAGGCTTCATTTAGCCTATTTTACATTTTATCTTCTGCCATGCTGCCAACACTTATCCAAGGACATTGATCAAGAAACAGGGCACAGGCAGAGGCTGAGATATTGAAATTTGCCTAGGAGATTTGGCTGTCCAGTTGCCATTAATGCTGTGGGAACCTCAGCCGTGAAGTCCCCACTCTTTTCTCCACTGTCCCAGTTATGATGGTCTCGCTTAGAAAGGTTGAAAAACTCTGAATTCATGCCCCCATCTGTATCCTGTAAGGAGCACAGTGAGCACGGCGGGGGGGATATACACTGCCACCGTGCAAAGCCGTGAGCCAGAGGTGCACGGCACCATACCAGCACAGGGCTTAACACTGTACTTTACTCAGAAATCTGCAACACAAAGCCTCTGGGCACCTTCACAACCGTTGCTCTGGTTCTAAAAACTCAATTAAAAAAAAAAAAAAAAAAGGCCCAAACTTACAAATTCGGGGATAAAGAGGAGATCAGGAAACGTCGTCAGGACCGAGAAGCCGGTAGGCAAGGAGACTGCAGCAGCCGCCGACGACATCTTTGTCCTTTCACCTGCACCACCTCAGACTCCCCGGTTCTTGCCACTGGAAGGGGCTTTCCAGTGCAGCCTGCTAACCTCCCTCCCTGAGACAGGTGAGCTCTCGGCTGATCAGAGGGATGAATGCTACCTGCCTAGAGGGAAGGAGCTAACCTAGGTGTGGCCGGCTAATTTGACAGACTTGCCTGTTGTGTTTATAAGCCCTGGGAGGAGACTGCAGAGTGTTATATTTTAACTTTCCTGTAGCGGCGTGGGATACATGCCGTTCGCTCTCCTGGGCCAGGCAGAGTTAACGGTGGAGACCTGCTGGCCCAGCGTTGGCTGGGACCAGACGCTGCTGCCAGAGCTAGAACGCAAAGGATGGGGCCCAGCTCCTCAGCTGGGGTAAGTCAGCGTCATTCCATTGACACCAGTGGATCTATGCTGATTTACACCCGCAGTGGATCTGGACCTGGCTTTTGGCCAGTGCTCCAGAACTGCAACCTCAGCTGCTCCTGTGAGATTTCTGAGATTTCCAGGGTCCCACCCGATGCAGAGTCCAGTCCCCCACTTAGTGCCACCCACTGCAACTGCAAACTCCTCAAGTGTTTCCCTAGCAAACGGCCACAGCTTGGCAGAGCTGGGAACAATCCTGCACTGGGAAAGGAGAGGATCCAGGACAGCCCTCATCCCCAGCGGAAATGTCTGAGAGTTTGAAATAGCCACCACGAGCCCAGGAAGCACTCCTGGTTTTAACAGCGAGAGCAGCTGACCGGCACAACAGGTCACCAAGGGAGGTGATGGGTTCTCCACTGATGGGCGTATTTAAATCAGGACCGTCGGTCTCTCTAATAGACACATCCTAGCCTACCCATGGGGCAGGGACTTGGTGCAGGACTCACTGGGGGGACTTCTCAGGCCTGTGCAATACAGGGGGTCAGGCCAGGTGATCTAATGGTCCCTGCCGGTCTTAAGATCTGGGAATCTAGAGACTGGTGCTGTACCAGTCCCGGCTCCACTGGGCAGCTGTAGACCCCCTTTGACTCCAGCACTGGGGGCTGCCTGGTGCGGCTAGTGGCTGAGGTGCCGCTTGGGAGCGGTTCTAGCATGCGCAGTGAGAGCTGCCCAGGAAGGGCTGCTTTGCAGCATGCCAGCAGCCCCTAACATTGCAGAGGGCAGATAAACTCAGTCCTGTCTTTAGAGACCAAGTGCCTTTGTGGGGACAGCTGGGGTAAGCCACATTCCCTGGAGCATGAGAGGAGTGGCCCAGCCTGTAGCTTTCCTCGCTGGGCTGATCTTGGGCCATGTCTTTGGGCAAGCAGCCAGCTAATGGGCCAGGCCCCTGGCCACGGCAGCCCTATGATTGCATTAGGATAGTGACTCAACAAAACTCTGGGTGGAGGCCCAGGGCAGGGCTCATTCCTTGTTGGGGAGTGCAGCTAAGCTGCCTCGGCGAGGCAGAATCCCTGGAGGGCTAGTACAAGTGCCCTAAAGATGGGCATGTTAAGGGGAAGGGGCAGTTGAATGAAGTCCTCACCTACTTTATGGGCGCAAGGAAAGGGTTAACAGCTGCCGCAGCGATGGGACACAGATCCCCCTCCTCTCCAGCCACAGAGCAGTGTATTCTCACCAGCCCAGAGTGGCCAGTTCCTGGCCCCGAGGAGAGCCAGGGCTGGGGGTGAAGTGAAAGGCAACTGGGCCTGGAAACCAGAGGCCCAGGTACCAGGTGAAGACAGGGCGTAAAGGGACCAGATTGGCATGAATTAATGGGGTCTGCAGCCTAACCCTCGTATCGGCAGCCCCCAGTGTCCAGAAAGGAATCAGGTCCCCAGACAGAGACCGGCTTAAACGTTTCCAAACTGGCAAATGTTGGGTTGTTTATTGGCCTTTCCGTTTTGAAGCCTTGGGGAGGAGGGCGGGGGGGGAAGGGAGCAGTCACATTTTCAAGCCCTTCTCCACAGCCACAAAGGCTAGACCCATTTGTGTTCAAATAGAAGCCGAGATTCTCATGTAGTCACAGGACTGCACAAGCTGGGACTCCAAGAAACATACCAACTATCATGAGACAGGAGGGGGCAAGGCTGGTGCAGACCCAGCTTCTTGACCTCAGTACCTTTTGGGCCCATTAGTGAAGTTCTGTGTGGAGGGGTCTGTCTGGGGAGGGCCTCCACAGGGGCTATGCGATGAGCATCCTTTTAGTTCTTGGCAGGCAGCTGCATAAGAGTCCTTTGCAAAGCCTCGGCGCACAGAGTCAGAAAGCAGAGGTAGGGTCAATGCACCTTCCCAGGCCCTTATTTTCCCTGGTTTATACTGCTCAGAGGACCTGCAGCATTCATGCTAGCACCTGTTGCAGTCTGGCACCTCCAGCTGTCTTTATAGTCAATCATTGTGGCCATACACATCACAGAACCAAAGAGATCCCCCGTCATTGCTGGCCAAGTGCATAATGGTTTCTCTATGTCTACCAGTCTGACTGTACTGTCTTTTAGGGCTGTCTCTACCCTTTCCCTTTGTGCATTGCACAGCACCACATACATTGCAATTCCTAATGGCATGCAGGGTCCTGGATTTGTGCTGGAAATGGCCCACCTTGATTATCATGCACATTGTAGGGAGAGTGGTCACTTTGGATGAGCTATTACCAGCAGGATAGTGAGTTTGTGTGTGTGTTTTTTGGAGGGGGGTGAGAGAACCTGGAATTTGTGCAGGAAATGGCCCAACTTGATTATCATGCACATTGTGTAGAGAGAGTTGTCACTTTGGATGGGCTATCACCAGCAGGAGAGTGAGTTTGTGTGTGTGGGGTGGAGGGTGAGAAAACCTGGATTTGTGCTGGAAATGGCCCAACTTGATGATCACTTTAGATAAGCTATTACCAGCAGGAGAGTGGGGTGGGAGGAGGTATTGTTTCATGGTCTCTGTGTATATAATGTCTTCTGCAGTTTCCACAGTATGCATCTGATGAAGTGAGCTGTAGCTCACGAAAGCTCATGCTCAAATAAATTGGTTAGTCTCTAAGGTGCCACAAGTACTCCTTTTCTTTTTAAACTGATGTAGCTTTTGTATGTTACTGACTACCATGAGGATGGGAGTGCAGTTTCTTTCTGTGATAGGAAGCCAGGCGGGGGATGCTAGGGAAATGTGGAGGAAGTAGTTCTTCTAGGGCAGTGGTTTTCAAACTTTTCTGGGGACCCAGCTGAAGAAAATTGTTGAAGCCTGCAACCCAATGGAGCTGGGAATGAGGGGTTTGGGAGGGGCTCTGGGCTGGGGCCAGGGATGAGGGGCTTGGGGTGCAGGAATGAGTTCCAGATTTGGGGGAGGCCCTCAGGGCTGGGGATTAGGGAACTGCTGGAGGTAACCCCGTCAGCAGGGGTTGCGAAGGCAGGCTTCTCGCTTGTCCTGGCACCACGAACCGCGCTGCGCCCCGGAAGTGGCCAGCAGCAGGTCCGGCTCCTAGGCAGAGGCGCACAAGCGACTTTGCGCGACTCTTGCCTGCAGGCACCACCCCCCCGTTCCCATCGGCCGGGAAAATTGCGGAGCCGATGCTTGGGGTGGGGGCAGTGTGCGGACGAGACTTAACAGCACCACTGACGAGACTTTTAACATCCCTGTTGGCAGTGCTGACCAGAGCGACCCCGTGCCCAATATGCCACGACCCAGTACTGGGTCGCGACCCAAACTCTGAAAAACATCGTTCTAGGGTTAATCTTGATTTACTCCTTCTAGTTACATTCCTGAGCAGAACAAAGAAAAGGACACGGATTCTTTGCCACGTGACAAATACCACAGGATGTGAAAAACTGACACTTAGTAAATGTATTTTTAAGAGTCAGTTCTGAATGTAACTTTGAAGTACTGCAATGGGGTGTCCACGTCCAGACCTAGCAAGACACTTATTGTTCATTAGCTACCTGTCAGGAAACCTGGCAACTGATTAGTAAAAGGATCTGTATGAAGATTTAATCAGTGGGTGATGAAATGGGCTTTTGTTTAGAGCTGTCAAACTGCAGCCAAGATGCATTAGTTAACAAATTCAGGTCTATTTAACCTAGCATAGTTAAATATACATGAAACCTATAATGATGCTAGTGTGGGGCATTACGGATTTGCTAGACTATCTGGCCCAGATGCCCGCCTGGTTGCGCGGGTTTAGTGCCAACAGGAGCGTGTGCTGTAGCAGGAGTCTCGACTCATTGCAGAGAAGGTCTGCAGTGCTCCAGCACTGAGCCCAGGGTGGGTGCTGACAAGATGAGAAATCTCACTCAGGGTTCCTCCGCACAGGTCTGATTATTCGTTACACAGAGCCAAACCCTGACCCTGCTCCAAGCCTGGCTCCTTGGGATCTAGCAGCTATTGTCTAGGTGGTGCTGAGAGGACAGAATCCAGCCAATCCACCCTTTCCAGACCGCATAGCGCCCGGAGCACTGCTCTCTGACTACAGCCTCAGCGAGGCTGCTGGCAGACTCTCCTTACATGGAGAGAGACCTCAGACGTGGAGCAGGGAGGCATGACATCGCCCCCACCCACCCTGCCCTCACCACACACAAAGCTGTGAAGATTTATCTCCACAGTTAGCATCCCCCTGCAGACTGGCACCTGCCTGAGACTTTCCATCTCTCCGCCACAGGATCAGGCCCCTAGCCGTAATTCCACTGACCAGCAGAATTCTCTTTAATTATTGCCCCTTAAAAATCACCACACCACTGCAAGAAATCAGAGAGACCTAATGGCCATTATCCAGCACCCTAATGCTACACCATCTGCATCGCCTCATTCACCTAGAGGCGGGGGGGTGAGTGAAAGACCCACAATATTTTGATGGAATAGATCACAATTGTTGAAGCGACTCCAGGGACGGGGAAAAAGCCAGAGGGAGGAACAGGCCATGTTCTGCTCACCTCGGAGTGGAGCAACACAGCCCCCTGGCGGCCTGTTCAGTTACTCACAGGCAGGTCCCGGGAGAACAATTCTACATTACCTTGTCACAGTCACTGCAGCATGGGGCCGGGCCAGGGTCCCAGGTTTCTGTCTACGTGAGCCCCATCTTCCCCCCGGCAACCCTCCCGCCTGCCTGGTTCCCCACCCGCCTGCTGCAGCATTCTCCCCTCATGCTTCCACGCCAGGGAGATAGAGACAGAATTATCCCAAACGAGGCGGCCTACAAGGTCCGTCACGTAACTACACACACCCTGGGAACTCTAACGGACAAAGACAAGATCCCTGCAACAAGGAGTCTCACTGTCAATAGGAAAAAGTGTTTCTCTCACTCAGGCTGCGTTGTCCTTTTGAGACCA